AATGAATGCAGAACTCATTAAAAACAAATTATTGTCAAAACTAGAAGAGGTGGTGTCTGCTCAAGTCCGCTCAGTGTTAGAGCCTAAGTGACTCTCTCTGAATGTCACATGGATCAGGAACCATCATATCATTGTCATGGCTTCATCCAGATGTGTAGTACTTGTGAAAAGACAACAAAGACTACTTCCAGGATATGTGAAGGGGAACATACCTTTCAAGGTAGTTCGACGTGAGCTTGTGACACAACAGGAATTTTTTTTAGCGGAAGTCTCTGGTTCAACTTTTATTAATATTAAATGGCCATTTTAAATACAACTTGAATACACTATTTTGAACTCCTCCTGGATCCTTTTGAGGTTAGTGATACATGCCCCAATAAAGCTAGCAAAGCCCTTCCCTTCTGAGAAGTGATGATTCTTAACTGGAGTGAGGTTACAGGTGATGGTTGTCAGAGAAGATGGTGGAGCAAGTTAATGAGAAAGGGATTCAGAAAGTAATTTATTGTAAGTCTGCTGAGAAATTAAATTTAATTAAAGGGGGAAAAATTGGGGACCCAGACTGATGAAGTTAGTACTCAAACCACAAACATGGTCACAGAACCGTAACCTTAAAGGCAGGTGCAAAATGCGTAGTAAAAGTTTGTATGTTCTTTGGTTGGCACTTCTTGAATCACATCTACTTGGATTTCATTTGGTTAGCACCTACCACTGTGGAGTCCTGAACCGTGGTAAGTCCTTCAAGTGCTTTCCATGAATTTTTATTTTTTTTTTTTTTTTAAGAAAATAAATTCAAAATGACACACTTCTCAAACCTACAAGAAAAATAATTCTTCACTGATTTGGAACTTATCAACAAAAAAGAAAGATATTTCCAGTGAACTAGAAAGGAATAGGACTTTGCTTATAAATAAAGGGAATTTTAATCCAGTTGATTTTTTACCAGTAGAACATGAAAGTCTTGTAGACTATATTGTCCCTTCACTTGCATTTGTGTATTTCAAAAAAAATACTTTTGTATGCATAACTTCCTTGGTAATTTACAGGGTATAATAATATATATATTATTTGTATAATATAATTTGGGTATAATTTGGTGTACTGGTAGACATTAAATTTCTCTACGGAAGTGCATATGACATAGGGCAATATTCACTTTCAGCATTAGTAGGTAAGAAGAGCAATTTAGCATATACATACACTCTGAACTAAGAGTAGAGTTTCAGTTAGAAAATATTTGTTTGTATGTGTCTATTTTAAAGTAGAATGGCCCCTTCTTTAAGGAATATAGCTGTAATACAGCTAACCAAGTACAGCCTGCAAAGGTTACTTTATGTCCAGCTTTGAACCAGGCTAAATGACAGGTATAAATCAGTGCTTCTCCAGTCTGGTTTGAACTTTGCTTGCTGTGTAGCTAACAAAGATTTCCTTTAAAAGAAAGCTCAGTAGGTGGAAATAATTTTCTGACTTCAACTATCATGCCACCTGTTTTTGTTTTCTATTGCTGGTGTTGCTGCTTTTTGGGGCACTAAGTGTATCAGTGTAGAGTCTGTATGTGTGTCCTGTCCCTGTTCCTCCCTGCCAGGGCTCCCCCCCTGCACCCCTACCTGCCCCAAAAACAGCTTTAAAAGAAAAGTCAAGAATTGGCAGAGAGGTATATACTGCTCTCCTGATAGTTTAAACATCACCTTTCTGTAGGATGAAATGTGTTAGAGCTTGCTTTCTCCTTATGAATTGTAACCAGAGCCAGCCCCTGCTGAGATGCTTTACAGAAGTGAAGCGCAACTGAGCATAAGAGCTGGATGCTGCCTGACGTTTAGCACCAAACTGCAACTCAACTGCTTTTAGACGTAGTCATCCTTCCTCATGCTGTGAAAATACACTATGCTATTGTGTACATTGAGAGTTCTGAGGTCCTTAATACACAGTGGTATTCTTAAAACGTGAGGATTTGACATTGTGAGAAGCAGATATTGAGGGGATAAGGCTCTTCAAAACAAAAAGAAAATGAAGGAAAATAAAAGATATTTTTACTCATAAGAGATCTTTTGTTTTTTCTTTCCCATTCTGTAGCACCTCCTGAGCCTGTGGCAGCAGGTAGCCTAACAGGCTATCTCTAAAGCTGTACTGCCATCAATTGCTGATGCTAGTGCACAAAGATGGACTGTTACGGTAGGACAAGGCTCCATTGAAGTTACTGCTAATAAGCTCTGTTCACTTCAGTCCCATTCAAAGCACAGGAAAAGGATCAATCTCTGCCACACTTGAAAAGCTGAAACTATCAGAGGTTAAAAATTATTTATTTCAAGTGGGTGTAAAACAGATTTTCAAAATAAACACTGAAACCACACATGACTCTTACCACATATATTAATCGTATTCTGTGTGGGCATGAAATACAGAAAGTGTTGAGCTTTGTATTCCTTCACTTTTATAAATACAGGTTTGTTCCAACTAGCATTTAATAAAAGCAATGTTTAAGTACCAGCTTCTATGTCAGATACAATGCACGTTCTCATTATGTAGTGCTACTCCATTGTAGCTTAGTTTACACTCTTATTAAAAGAGGCACATCCTTTTTCTATCTCCCTAATGCTTAAAAAAACCAAACCAAAACAAACAACAACAACAAAAAAACCCCACAAAAATACCCCCCCCCCAAAAAAAAACCAACAAAAAAACCCAAAACCACAAAAAAACAACCAAACAAAAAAACCCAAAACCATGAAGTAGTTGTAGATGGAATTATTTTGATTATTTGGTTTTTAAGTGTTGTACCTATATTTCTCTAAAAAAAGTGTATGCTAATCCTAGTGCAATGGCTTTTTATATTTCTGTAGCAAATTGTTTTCTTAGTTTGTGTTTGAGTGCTTAGTGCTACATTGATTGTCATCTGCTTTTTAAGTACAGCTTCATGATGTACAGGGTCATTCTTTCAAGAAGAGTCACTCTTGTGGTGCCATATGCTTGGTTTCAATTTTTAAATGCTGCTACAGGTGAATTAGTATCCTACAGGTATAAAATGTGGACATTCCCCAGCATGCAGTTAGTGGAATTTTGGGGATTTTTTTTTTTCCATACCTTTGATTACATCCTCCTTCTGTACTTAGACTTGTCCGTGTAAAAGCCAAACTGACCCTAGCCTTCTTTGGACATGGCTGAGCTCTGCTCACTTTTTAAACCTGAAAATGAAATTTAAGGAAGTTCCTTCCTAAGAGTAGGTGTATTGCTGGGAGAGCTGTCTCTCCATACTGCAGACAGATCTGCCTCCGTCCTGACCTGCCTGCACCCTGAGCGGAGTGTGCTCAGGGCATCATGGCAGCAATGGCTGGCTGAGGTGTTCTCCACCATGCTCTGGTCTGAGACTGCTGCCACCATCCACACTCTGCTTTTCTTTATCTAACATATACCTAATCTCTTTACTCTCCATAGTTTTAGCTATATTGCTGAGAGAATAGAGGTAGTGCAGTAGGGATTTTTTTGAAATCAGTGTGAAACTTGGGTTTGATACCATGGTGTTATGACTCTCTTCTAATCCTCTGGCTCCTGACTAAATTATCATTCAGTTAGAGCCCATATGGCTTAATTACTGAGGCAGCAATGACAGTGTTATGTTGCTTTTCAGGGTTTTTCCTTCCTTTAGCTTAAATACTTCATTAGTAGAGTCTTTGTGTCTTCTGGTACCACTGTGCAGCAGCGAGATCTGCGTCCAAATCTGAGGTGTTTCCATTTTATTTAGAGTATTGTTTGGCAGGTTCCTCTAATAAGAGGATATTCTTTATTCCTCTAAAGAATAAGCAGTCTAGGGAAATCAAACTTGCCAACCTTGAAACACTAATTCCTGGAAAGATGTGCTGGTTGCACTCATTTTTCTCTGCATGGAGATATTCAGTGATGAAGGAGTTGGCTGGTGGTCAGCTCCACTTGTACAGTCAAAAATCACTCACTCAACATTACTTGGGACAGACACAAACATGTTCTAGCTGGGTCCTTGCAGACTCTCAAGATCCAGCAGGGTTCATTAACCTTGGCTCACTGCCAAGCAAATGCAACTCTAGTGTGCCGAGACTAAGTAGAATCTGCTGTTTTGGCATGGAGTCCAAGCTATTAAAGCCTGCCAAGCGTGAAGGGTGCAGATCTAGGTCCAGTGCAGTTCTTGGATCCAGGAGCTCTGGAAACACATTGCGGATCTCTGACCATATGGATCAGCTTGGGACCATCAGGGCTTATTAGATCAACAACAGTTTCTGCCCTGTTAACCTCAAGCTTATTTCTGTGCCTGGTTTTAGTTCAGTTTTTATTAAGTTTTTTATGGGGTTTTTTGTTGTTCTTGGTTGGGGTGGGGTGGGGTGGGGGTGTGTGTTTTAAAACTGACTCTGAAGTTTGGGGAAATTTATTAGCTTGATCAGCCTCAGGCTCAGCTAAAAATTTCTGCACTTGCAGTATGGCATGTAAGGAGCTTCTTGGAAGCAAACTGCACATGCACTGAGCGTGCTCAGCAGGAACCAGCTCAGGGCTAGCACTGAGTTGGAGCTGCTAGACTCTGATCTTAAATTGACTTTTAATTCCTCTATGCTTTAATTCCCAGCTCATTTTGCAGTGAAACAGTATCCACTGCCTGCTTTCTCACAACCTATATGAGCCATGATATTGGAGCTCTGACCATTACACCCAAAGTACAGAGGCCTGGATGGACTGTGCCAGTTAGGACTTGTGTTTTGGTTTTGTGGCGTGTGTAGCCATGGTACGTACTAGTTAGACTGTATGTTTAATACCTACCGATGTCATAAGGGTAATTAGCTTTCTTGTTTAGATTTGAAAATACTCTAGAAAAATTGCAGTGTGCTTGATGTAAGTCAAAATAATTTTAAGAAAATATGCTTGATAGTCTGTGCGCTGTTACAGTACTTGAAATTATTTTTGCTCACAGAATTCACGAGTGCTTGCTTAACTTTTCCAGGCAAAAGGTCATACAGCTCTTATGGGTTTTCTTTCATATGCAGGTGCAGCTGGGACAAGCGGATATAAAATGCCCTATCACAGAGTGCAGCGAACACCTGGATGAAACAACTGTCCTCTATAACCTGCCCCATGATGACATCATCAAGTATAAATATTTCCTGGAACTCAGCCGCATTGACTCCAGCACCAAGCCATGTCCTCAGTGCAAGCACTTTACAACCTTCCGGAGGAGAGGCCACATTCCTACCCCTGCCAAATTGGAGAACAAATACAAAGTGAGCATGCTTGCTAGGGCTGTGGGTTAGGTAGCAGTGCAAAAGTAGAACAGCATTTGGTGGGCATTAAATGAGCTTTTTTTGCTTCACTGGAGCCGTGTGCAAGCTGTGATTAGGAATATGAATCTGTAGTATGTTGTTGATTAACTACTTACTTGGCTTCAAATAGTTCAAGTACTTAAACTTCAGCCTCTTTTTTTTTTTGGCAGGCAGTGTAATTTTGTCCTGACATACATTTTAATTTAAAGAGTGTTTTCTCTCGACATGCGAACATTATGGTCACAATCAGAAGAGACTGGGGAAAGGGAACTTATCACTATAACCAATAATTCTAGACACACTACCCTTAAGTTTTCCCTGAAACTCCGGGTAAATGAATTCTGGTCATTTATGGTGTTAGGCAGTTGGCATTGCTCCTTCCTTAGTAATAGAGCTGTTGTCCATCCTGCTTCTTGGTTTTGGTTTCTTCACTCTCTTACCAGAGGTAATACATTACTGTAGCCTCATCACTCATGATGCAAAAACTTGAGAAATAGGAGGGGGAAAAAACACTTCTACAGCATTTCTTTTCATAGAAGATTTGCTTTTAGTGTGATTTGAATCAAAGATAAAAAGCAGGAGTTTAGAAGAAGCTTTGGGCTGCTGAAGGTCCATCTGAGTTCCAGAAGATGACGTTTCTGTCTGCAGCATCATGTTCTGTGTTAGTTTTCCATCTGGTTATTAGATTTGATGTGGTTAATTTCATGATTGAGCTGGCCTTTCCTGGACAAACCAGTTCTCCTCAGTAGGACTTTAGATGACTGTTTAGATAACTCTAATTACACAGCATAAGATTCAGCCCAGTATGAAGATTAAAAGGTAGAAAGTTGTGTATTCATTGGAGTTGAAAAGTTGGTAAAGCTTATTCTGAGTTATGAGCTATTTATGTATATCTGTGCAAGGCATGAATTACATGCCACAATCACAATGTCTGTTGGACTCAATGTTTTCAGATTTTTGGTGTCTTACATTGAGGTGGAAAAATTTGAAACTGCAGGTAAAATTCCTTCCGCTCACAGCCATTCTCCTTCACCCATCTGCTTCATCATCACCACACATGAGATGTAGTCCAGGGTAGATGAGAGCGGATAAGGCTTCTGCAGCCACCTCTCTTGAAGTGTCAGGAGCTGTTACTGTCTCACAAGTGTGGGTCATAGGTGGTGCAGCTGTTGTATCATGGGCATGCCAGATCTGAGAATATTCCTCAAGGCATAACCAGTGCTCTTTAATGAGTCAAAATGCTACAGTTAAAATGTTCCTACAACTTCCCTACAATCAGGAGGAATGGGTGACTGTGATGCATAGTACAAGCCAGCAGCAGTTCACTGGTCCTGTGGTGGTTCATTATATGTAGCTCTGATCTGCAGAGCTTAAGTCTCCTGGGAACAGACTCTGGCAAAATGTGTCCTTTGAGCTGAGCCCAGGTGTTGCGTGCAAGAATGTCTCATTGATGCTAGTCAGAAATATAATTAGGAAAGTGCTAGCAACAGTGTGGACGATCACGGTCCAGAGGGCATCAGCCTACTCTCTGAACATCTAGTGTTTTCTGGTATACACACAGTTTTAGTGATTTATTTTAAGCTTAGCACAAAGAGAAGTTTTGCTGCAGGGAGAAGGTTTAGAAAGAAGACTATATCAGAGATTGAGTATATGTGAGTAATTACATACACACATAGCTGTGGACCAATATTATCTCGGTTTTCTTAGGTTCTCACGTGATTGCTTGTGTGCATCCTCTCTGTGTCCTGAATGACAGGCTTTTTGGAGGTAGAAGCTCATTTTCTTTTGCTTATAGTGTTAGGAGATGTCTGACTGGAGGCTCACGAGGCTCACATATTCATGTGCGAGCAATATGAACAGCAATTGCGCCAGATGAATTCTGCACCAGCACTGGAAGTGCTGGCTTCAAGAGAAGCCATGTGGGGAACATCTATGCACAAGCCTACTAGTAATATCACATGAGTGCTCAGTGCCAGTACACTTACTCTCTTATACACTGCAACAGGAAAGCACTCTAAAATCCAAAAGTTGTTTGAACAGACACTTCAAAAATGTTATTAATGCCATTTCTAAAATTTGATACAGTATTTAAAATGACAAATAACATCAAAATTTAAAGAGGCAGCAAAGTAGCAAAGTTATAAATTAATTTTCCTTACTATAGCTGTTTTATGTCAGCTAAATTGATCTAGGCCCTGCAGTTGAATTGGCTGAGATTTAAATCTTTGTATGCTAAACCTAGAAAGTGAGTATGTTGAGGGAGAAGGAGGGGAAGAAAAGGGGAACTTGCTATCCAAACCTTTCTTCTACTATTAATGCCACTTAGGACAGCAGGACAGCAGTGGGACTACTTAATTTCCTGTATCAAGTATTTGTATCACAAATAGATCCAGCTTTAAGTAAGGAAACACCCCTGTCCCCTCTCATATGACCTAAATTGGGAATGTAAGACTTGATTGTAGACAAGACCCTAATAAAGCTTTGATCAAAGCTGTTATGCCAAAGTGCAAAGGAAATAGACAAAAATTGAAAAATTGCTAGTTAAGTTCCTGTGTGTGGAACATATAAGGGTTTCACAAGAGTAAGATGACTTGCTCTGTGTGGGGTTTGGGGATTCCCCCCCCCCCCCAAGTCCTGGCTTTCAACTGTTGTTTTAATGTTAGTTCTTTAACCTGGCACCTGCCATGGAGAAGCAATACTTGATTCTTGGACTCTTATTTCTGCCTTGTCAATCTCTAGGTTCATAATGAAGTTTTCTAGTTCTGTCAAGAGATACATGTCACATAAAAGGAGGACTTGAGTGTTTGGCTTTGCAAGTGCAAATGTGTTTTCAATGGAGTTGTTAGATAAACAGTCTTTTGTTTTAACTGCTGAAGAGTTTCTGAAACTTGTTGCTCTTGAACTATCAGGAGTCCATACCAGCAGAGATGCTGTGATAGAGCTGATCTGCGTTATTTATACCAAGTAGTTCCTCACTTTTTGGATCAGATTTTAACCTTTAAGTCACAGATGTCTTCATGGCTGTATATCACTTCAACCTACCTTGAGCCTCAACTGCTGTGGATATGGAGATTTTGCCGTGCTTTCCGTCTTTCCTTTCAGCTGTTCATTCCTGCCAGCCTGCTTTTGCTCATGTTGATGTTTTGGTGTAACACTGGGAACTGGATCAAAGATCAGCCCTAATGGGACAAAACATTTGTTTGTTTTGTTGTTGCTTCATTTTCAGCTGCTACAAGAAAGAGGTTGGGTTAGTGATGAGGAGAAGGAAGCTGTTTGGGCCGGAGCCCATATTTATTTTCAAATAAAGTGACAGTAGCTGTAGCTAGAGACTGTAATTCATGTGATCAGTTAGTTGCATAATTAATTTGACCATCCTATTATATAGCTAGTGTTCCATCACCAGCAGAAAATCCCACTAAACTTTTTGCACCTTGAGGTTCTCAGAATATTTTTCCTGTGCAGTCAGTTTTGCTATCATCATATCACATTAATCAGTGTTTTGTGTTGAAGTTATTTATCAATTTTGAAAGGTCTTTTCCTGAGAAGTGAGGAAACTGATAAATAAAATAGTTTGCAGTAAAAAGGCTAGCTAAGAAAAATGAAAAATGTTAGCTTCAAAGGTCAGTGTTTCAGAAAGCTGAGAACCAAGAGAGTTGTGTAAGGTTTTCTATTTCAAGGGAGACTGACCTCTAGTATAGACTGACCTCCAGGCATAGAGGTTTGTGTATATATCCATCCTCTCAATTCTAATCTATGGAAATGGAAATCATAAAATAAATGGGAAAATGTTGGTGTGAGGAAAAACATATTTGAAAAAACGCTGGGTTAATGTTTTGGGCTTTTGTAGTCTGCTTTGCTGGACTATATTTTACTGGTTTAAGTCATATGTAGATAGCACTTCTGTGCCCTTGTTACAATGGTTTCATGCACTAATACTGAAGCATAAAGCAAATCATATTTGACTTTCTTTCAGAACAGCAGAGAAAGAGTGGAAAAAGAATATGAAAGACTGCAGTATTTGCCCCTTCGTGTTTCTGTTTCTTAAGCACGTTGGTGTCACGCTGCATCCAAGTTTGAATGGGTTTAGGAGTTTGTTTTGTGATCACTAGTTCCAAGAAAAATAAGGTTCGTAAGTGATTAAACACATAGTTTTCTTTGCCTGCTTAGTGTATGCTCAGCATTGAACCATGGAGAAGGGAAGTGGCTCATTCAAAATATAAAAACTATTTACTAGTTCAGTTTTGAGGAAGGTGCTGTCAGGGTGGCAGGTGGAAGAGGAAACTGGTAATGAAACATACAGTTTTCACTAGTTCGGTTAGTTAGGGCCATTTGTGGTAAAAAATGTTATTTCAAGTTCATACGGTTATAACCTCATCTTGTATTTCAGTACTTTCTAATTAATGTATTTGGAAACAGGTGATGTCAGTATGTGTGTAAGTTTAAATATATATCCTGGTGGCTGCTCTATTACTTTCACTTATGTAACTGCTATAATAGAAAGATAGAACATGCAATGAATTTGTGTCAGATTTTCACCAAAAACCAAACCAAAACTGAACCCACGAAACTTGTTTTAAATTAAGTTGCCAATTTTTTTTGAGAAAGAAGATTTAACTTGCAGCTTTTCTACCTGGTGATTTGTGTTTGTATTTTTTTAACATCTGTGTTCTGTCTCAAATGTCTGAATATTACAACTATTAAAAGTAAGTCATACGTACAGGATATCAGAATTTAATATCACACTCTTAGTGTGTCTGCTTGATATGAAGGAAATGTATGTATTGTAATACTTAAATGCAGATACAATATTTTTTTCTTTACAAAGGTAATGACCAGTAGATGGTAACAGACTAAAATGTTATGTATTGAGAAGAAAGTCTCTTAATTTCTTGATGCTGTTTCACTTCTGTGCATTCCAGCACAGCAAAGGACCATGAATGGGGACATGCTGTCTTAAGGGTAGTGAGAAAATTTTCTTGATCCTTAATTCCTATTCTTGCACTTGATGATCCACAGATGTGGATTAGTGTAAAGAGGTAAGCTGAAGTGATGCACTGAGCAGCACATTGCATAAAATACGTATAATACGTGGTTAAACAGGTAAAGATGTGCTGGTTTAAAAGTGAACCGGTGGGAGAAATGAACCCAACTCTAGAGAGATTATAAATTGGAGTTACAATTTACTAAAAATAAATTACAATAGATGCAACGATACAGAGAAAACCTTGTTTTAACCCACAAAAAACAGATGTATAGCCCAGCCCCTTGGGACAAGAACAGAACAGTGTTCTTTGGTCCCTGTGCTGAGCACCATGTGGCCCCCCTGGGTGCAAACTAAAAGGAGAGGAAAACCTGTTGGTCCAGGTGATGATGGTAGTTCTGTTGAGGTAATTTTCACAGTCTTGTCAAGAGTGGCAGTCACAGTCCTGTTGGAGTTCTGGTCCTCCTCTGGATCCAAGGAGTGATACCAGAAGTCCCAAAACCCCAAGATTATATATGCTCAGGTTCAGGTGGGAACGTCCAGTATCTCCCCCAGGGTAGGGAGTTTCACAATGGGTGATTTAAGTGAGTCTTGTGATATTTTTGGAGTCTTTGATGGTCTAGGTATTGCAGCTGCCTATTATGCCAGTCCAGTATGGCCCATTAGCAAAGATGACCCCTCAGGCTGGGTGTGAAGGTGCTAATTCCTCCCTGGGATTGGGGGGGGTTATCACAGCTGAGTCCTTAGATGTGCCCTGGGCAGCTGCTGCAAATGATCCATTATCAACAGTCCATCAGAAATGACATAGAGGGTGTAGAATACAGAGTTTTGGTTATACCCACATAGTAATAAACTGGTCCTGGCTGCTGTAACTAGGACAACATCGCACAATGCAAACCAAACTATGACTGTTAGACACTGCTGCAGTGGAAAAAATAATATTGCTCTTTACTGGTGAAGTTAGACAGCCACTGAAAAATAGGTTAGCTAGGGTCATAGAAATGCTCAGGTTGAGCAATTGTGTCAATTAGGTTTGCAATGTGAAACAATAAAGGCAAAAAACTAAATGCTCTCTCTGTGTATAGAACTTGGGGAATAGCATTAAAGGTAACAGACGGCTTCATTTCTAGGTCATGCATCAGAGATCAGATCAGCTTTGTATTATCATGTTGGTAGTGATAGATGTAGTGAGTGCACATATAAATAATTTAGGCTACCCTCCAGCAAAACATATATAAGGGAGATCAGAGCACCTACTTTGGACTTTTAACTGTAGTCAAGGAGGCACACGACCAGTTAGCATGTCTGAACAGAGGGCACAGCAACTGCTGGGAGTGAGAACTTCAGAAATGCATTTCGGAGATTTCACATGTGACTACACTCTAGGATGCAGTTTCCTGAACAGCACCCCCACACCATCCATGGGCAGCACAGACATGTTCATGGTTTGGTGGTGAACCAAATGTGGACACACATATAACCTTTGTTTGACTGGTGGAATCCCTCAATCCCATCCATCAGCTGGTACAAAGCCAGGGTAGTGCCAGACATAGACTGCAACTGGAGATGGTGGACAGGGCTCAGCAGTCACTTGAGAGGTGTGATTTCCCATCTTTCAGGCTGAGACATTTTTCAGCCAAACACAGCAGAATTGAACATGTTGCAAAAGCCTGGATGTGCCTGTGTCTAATAAGGTTTCTGGTTCTTGCTTTCCTTAGTCATGATCCAGGTAGGAGGCCTGTCTTTCATCAGATAAGAATATGCCTCTATTTATTATTTGGCAAACACAACAACTGCCATAGCTTTTCAAACAGAAAATGAGCAGGCTCTGGAAGAAGACGACATGATGACGATGGTACCTGTTTGACGTAATGATATAAAACCGAGGGAGTGGAAAGAATAGATGCTTTCTCAATATGAGTGTGGCTTGTGGTTTTTGCTATTAGGTGTGGTCTGTAGCAAGCAGGCTGTTTGTCACGGCCTCAACTTGCCTTTACGCAATCAAGAGCAAAAGGAGGTGCCTGACTTCCAGTTGGTTGTTCTGGCTCTTGGATAAGAACCTTGCTCATGGCCCCTGTTCCCAGGACCATTTCTAATATAGCTTCATAACCCATTCTGGGTTCTGTAGAGCCCCCTCAGAAGACTGACTTACACTCTGGTAATAGCCTAGGCAGTGAAGTTTATTACTAGAAGATGACAGATCTACTGCAATGAAAATTGTCTGCTAATTTTTAGGTGATCTCACAAATGTAGGAAGCAAGTGAATAAGCTTCCTGGATTTTGCCTTTTATCAGTTGAGCCACACCATGTATTTGGGGAGCAGTTCCTATGGTTGAACCATAGGAACAAGTAGGTTTACTTGTGTTTTGTTTGATTGAGGCCTTTCCTGACTTTAGCAATTGCTTCTGTATTTTCTCTCTTTTTTAAAAAAAAAATAGAACAAGTTAACTTCCACAACTTCTTGTGTTTTTAAAACAGACCCTTCAAAAGATGCTGGACCTTTGCTGAGCAGCTACTCTCTTAATTGAAGAGCAGTGGTTTTAAAACAGGCTTTCTAGTTGGATCAGCATCCAGCTTGTAAACATGTGGTGTTTTCTCATTTGTACAGATCCAGTGTCCATCTTGCCAATTTGTTTGGTGTTTCAAGTGCCACTCTCCCTGGCATGAAGGTGTTAACTGCAAAGAATACAAGAAGGGAGACAAGCTGTTACGTCACTGGGCCAATGAAATTGAACATGGGCAGAGGAATGCCCAGAAGTGTCCAAAATGCAAGGTGAGCTGCTCTCCCTTGGCTTGCAGGTATTGTTCAAATATATATTTAAAGTAAATATTTTTAGCTTCTGCTCAGCATTGAAAATGAAATTCACGCTTGCCCTGCAGGGTCTTTTCAATGACCCCTTAAGAAAAACAGGTCAGATGTTTTACTTGCTGGTTTCTGCACTGATTCTGCAGAATATCTGCCTGTAAAAGCAACGTTATGGAAATAGTAAGAGGGGGCATTGATATATGCTTAGAATCACAGAATCATAGAATGGTTTGGGTTAATGAACGTGCTACAGAATAAATCATTCCTAAAACAAAGCTTTAAAGAAATGGGAAGCTGTAGAGAAATATGATGCCCTTTGTCAGATTTTCTAGAGAGTTAGGGTGAATTCAATTTCACAAGGCAGGAAGTAATCTGTCAAAGAGTTAAGGGAGAGTTTAAGATTTGGCGAAATTGTGAGTTTTTTAGGATTAAATGTCAGTTCTGCACGAGTCACATCTCAAGGTGTGACTTCACAGGCTGCACCTCGAGTACTGTGTCTGATTCTGGGCCCCTCACTTCAAGAAAGACATTGAGATGCTGGAGTGAGTCCAGAGAAAGGCAGTGAACTGGTGAAGGGTCCAGTAGGTAAATCCTGTGAGGAGTGGCTGACGGAACTGGGGTTGTTTAGCCTGGAGAAGGCTCAGGGGAGACCTTACCACTTTCTACAACTACCTGAAAGGAGGTTGTAGCGAGGTGGAGGTTGGTGACTTCTCTAGTTCAACCAGCAACAGGACAAGAGGACATAGCCTCAAGCTGCTTGAGGGGAGGTTCAGGCTAGACATCAGGAGGAATTTCTTCACTGAAAGAGTTGTCAAACATTGGAATAAGCTGCCCAGGGAGGTGGTGGAGTCACCATTCCTGGAGGTGTTCAAGAAATAACTGGACATGGCACTTCATGCCGTGATCTAGTTGACAAGGTGATGGTCAAAGGTTCGACTCAATGATCTCTGAGGTTTTTTCCAACCTAAATGATTCTGTGAAGTGTTTCTCATTAGTTAGTTTAATTTTCAACGCTGAAGTACAGTTGTACACCCTAAAAATATCATTAATCTATTCCAGGATAGGAAATACTTCCTACTACTCAAATGAGATTCGACAGCCCTGCATACCCCTGACCTGGTTGCCCTTAATGAAGGAACTGTTACCTTGGTTCACTATTTTTTTTCATACCGAGGGAGTAGTAAGTCAGAACTTTAAGAGCGTCATGGTGGTGGGAGACTGTCCTTTTTTTTTTTTTTTTTTTTTGAAAGAGAATACCTAGTCTGAAATTTTCTATTGCTCTAAATCTACATAGACAGGACAGAGTAAGGAAACTGGAATGTTTGGTAGAAAATAAATATTGAAAGCGAGATTTACTCATAAATATACCAAGTATATGTCACACTTTGAGCCTTACACTGTGCAAATAAGAAAATGTTCATCAGCTTAGTAAGTGTCTCATTTTGGTCTTTGGGAAAGAAATGCCTGTGATGCCATAGCTTGAAAGATTTCGAAACACTAAGCAAAATTGGAAAGCTCTAAAATAGGCAGCTAGTTATTTACCCTCCCTCATGCACATGTGACGTTTTAACAGAGTTTTTACAGCTTGCTCTTTGGTAAGAGTTGATAGGTTTGAGCCAGTTTCAAAAATGTTCAGTTTCTGGGAAGTCATAAAGTAAAATCCTTTGTTCCTTTTGGAGTGGGATTTGTGTTTTGGTTTTAATTCTTTGACTTGTGTCCAGATTCAGATTTTGTGACAATGCAAATGATGTAACTATTGTAATAAGTTGTCCAAAAAAAGAAGAAAGTGGACCAAGCAAAAAAGCATGAATGTGGAAAAACGAGGGGAAGAAGGCTGCTAGCTGGAAAGAGAAAGGAACTAAAACCACTAACTGTAACATATTGAGCCTGGATAAGTAATAAATTTAAAATACCACATTTAAATGTACAACTCTTTTCACCATCTTCAAAAAAAAAAAGGCTGGACACTTGAAACTTCTGTGGCTTGTCACTAATTGTGAAGCATAAAATTGCATGAGTTAGGCTGCTAATTTCAAAAATACTTCAGGTTTCTTTTCATAATCAAAGGAAAATAAAACCTCCTACATGGTGGGAGGCAGTATGGAAAGTTATGAAACTAGCACAGAAAAAGGAAACTCTGTCAAGTCCTTTCTGTTGATGTGTATTATAAGTGAATATTGAAGAGGGAATTCAACTTTGTTGCTACCCTCACTCCTGATACTTTTATCTTCAGAGATGAAAAATATTCTTTCTGCCTGCAATCTCCAAAATGTTTCTATCAACACATTGATTATTTTTAAGTCAAATCTACAACTAGCAGGTAATCAAAAGACCAGTGGTTAGTGGTACTGTTGTTCTTTTTTTTTTCTTTTTTTTCAACGGTTATTGAGTAATTAAAAAAATACATCTTTGGCAGCACTCTCCATCAAGTCTTAAGTAGATGTCCAGGCACGTGGGGATAAGCATTCCAACAGGTAACAATTTGGAGTCAAGGGGATTAGACCTAACACTTCTCTGCCTTTCTTTCTCCAGCCATCCCCCTAAAACCTCTATATAAAATAACATTGAATCAAATGACAATCATATTTCCAAATAAAATAAAGAGAAAGACAGAGAAAGTAGAGTTGATAACATACCATTTAATTTATTCTTGTTCTAGATCCACATAGTGTTTCAGGTGACAGCATATTTTATTTTTAACCTCTTTCATGTGTTGGTTAAAAATTTGCAGCAGCCAAAGTTTACAGATTGAGGAAAAGTCAAGATGCAATTTTGTCTGAAGATATTGGTATTCAGTCTTTACGCTAAAACTGAAACTAAGAAAAATTAGAGATAGAAATTTCAGTAGAGGTAGAATTTCTTTGCTTAGGTAATTTGTAAAATTACTGGTAACTTCCAAAGTTACTGATTACAGTGTAAACGGTGACCATATTTTATAGATACCTTCTGGAGATAATTATTTATACACACCACATAGATACATACACACACAGACTCTTTCTTTAAGTAGCTGTACCACAGAGAAGTCAAATGCACTATTATTATCTTGTCTGGGCATGCAGGTGAGAAAATGGAAACACATTTATGGGGGGGTGTATGTATAGGCAGATCCTCAGGCAAGTATTCACAAGTTTTTCAGTGGTTTTGGTAAGTGCTTTGAAAGAACATAATCCTTTGTAATGTGAATATAGTGGGGACTGTTGAATAAGCTTAAACTTGATTGCTTTTTTCTGTAGCTGGATACAGCTTCAGTGAATCTAATAGGAATAGCTTATATTTACCTAGTCTCTCTAAGGTGTGTTTACATAAGATAATAATGTTACACACTGTCCTACTAGGTAACTGTAGATCCATGTTTTGATTGTATGTTAGTATGGAAATACGCTACTTTTTTTTAACTGAACCTTAAATGAATTTTTTTATTTTTTTTTTTTTTTGTTTTTAATAGAGCCTTTTCCAAATTTACTATACACTATTTTAAGGAAGTCAGCATAGACAATTTTTCTCAACAAGACTTGTCCAAAAAGTGCTGGTCCTGTTCTAGAGAGAGCTGGCTAATGCACGCAAACTTGCTACATGGTTTTGGATGCCATTTGACTAAATCTATAACATTATTTGTCTTTCCCTACTACTATTTTAGGGGTTTATTTTTTACAATTTCTAGCTAGGTGTTTGCAGGAAAATGCCTTTGTTTCCACAAGTGTCTTTACAGTACAGCAAACCAAGGAATTACTTCATGTTGGTGTTATCTTACCACAGATTTCAAAAACAACACTGTCTGAGGAAACACCACACAGCAGCTCTAGTTTAGAAAGCTTTGAACAGCAACAGAAGTTTAAGTAAACAAGGGTGTCAATGCAAATAAAGGAGTGTGTACTTCTTATCTGTGGCTTATCTGTTCTGATTACTATAAGCGTTATAAGATAACTCAGGGCATAGATTTTGAAGGTGCTCTGAAAAGTAATTCTCATCCTCTGGAGAGAGGAGGGTCCTTATTTGTATACAAAGGGATAAAGCTGTGCAGATTCTCTTCAGGAGGGGAGGAGAAATGGCTATTCTCACCCTCAGAACTTTTGGCAGGGATTTCCCTAGAAGATTTCTGTGAGAGGACTTGTAACATGCAGAGGAGGTGAAGATCTGAAATAGCCACTGTGTTACTTCAGTTGTTTCCTTAAGACTCTGAGCTAGGCATGTTTGCCTTTGTAATTTTACCCCTCTTGTTCTGGGAGTCATTCTTGGTTTTCTGAATGACCAAATCTTCCCCTGTAAGGTGAGGGTACATCTTTGGTTTTGAACAGGTATTGGGTGTAGGATGAAGCCTGTTGCATTTACTGAATGTTTGGAGGCAGAAACTGTGCTTGCAGTCATCAAGCTCTCACCTTGCCTCCTCTACCCTCACGGTACTGCTGGGGACCCTGCGGTTACAAAGCTCTGGACCCCACACAGCTGCAGCTAACTATAGCAAGCATTCCTGGCCCCATACATTCCCCTGGCTGCCTGTTGCATACCATGGTATTGCCAGTGGAGCAGGAACAGTCATGTGATATCTGATCCATTAGCTATCGCTTTCTCAACTTATAGATTTGTAATCCATCTCTGTCAGTGGATTATCTGGAGGACAGGGAGGCATGTCCATGTGAACCAGAGCTGAAGTTGATCTGGTGAGGTGTCATGTCTTAGGCTTGAAAGCAGCAGAGTTCATCTGGCATTGTCAGTCTGCGTGCATGAGACTGGGAGTCCTGCATCTGAGGTTTGGGTTGTTTTTTTTTTTACTTCATTTTTTTAATAAAGTCTCTCCTCACTGTAAAAAGGAAAGTTTTTTCAACAAAAAAAATATGGGCAAGTACAACCAGTTGTTCCAGATTTGCACCTTTTGAAGATAGTTACATATGTGCAGATAAGTATTCACTAAAATTTTTTTATGGCTTACTTTTTGAGGAAGCAACATAAAGTACATGTAATTGCAGTATGTGTCTGTAATAAAATAAATCCCATAAAAGAAGTATCAACTTCTTTTATGTTTAAAGAGGACAGTATGTCTGGAGGACTTAGAGTAGAAACAAGTAGATTGTCAAATGATTCAGCAGTGGTGCCTAGCTAACTGGAGCATCTAGGAAAGCACAGGTAGGCAGTTGGCAGGCAGTTTCTAAGAGGTGAATATTTATGAAAGATATGAATGGTAGAACATATAAAGCTATTTCCAGTATCTCCTTGAAGTTCTTACTACCAAAAAAATTAATTTATTTTTGAAATGTGAAATAGTTTTGCTTTGCATCTAAGGTTTTTATAGGTTCCAGGCTCATACAGACTTTCAGTTAGGATGAGTTGGTAAATCAGAGAAGAGGAAGGAGAATTCAATGGTCTTGATTCAAAAAGAAGATAAAACAACCAGTTAATTCTCATTAATGTGATAAGATCTAGTTCCCTCATGTACATTTTTAAGATGGAATCAGCAGATAAGGAAAGTTACCTCTAAAATTGCAAAAGTCCATATAGTTGCTTTCTGAATTTCAGTCCCCCGAAAAACTAATTGGAATTAAAATTTGAAGTTAATTAAGTCACTATTAAAATTCCTTCATTTCCGTTCAAGTTAATCTTAGGAATTACATTAAACTGTGGCTTCATGAGCAAGGTCATTTTTTCACATGTAACCTGAAAAGTAAAAACAAAAGTCAAACTGACAGTATAATATCCCTTCCAGAAGAAAATAGCGTATAACTTTATAAGTTATGCTTAAGTTGGTACAATATTGAGTAGACTTCTGTTTCTACTTTGCTTATTCAGTGCTTAAATGTGAAAGTTTTAAAATCAAGTGGCTTATAAAGCTCATCAGCAATGGCGTTTTTTCATGTGCTTCTGGAAAACAGGGCAGCTGTGATACAGCAGGCTTTCTCAGGGTAGAGAGGGTTGCTTGGTCATAAGGGATGCTATTTGCATCCCTTCTCTGGGGCAAATGTAAGTCCACTAGAATCCTTGTTCAGTAGAAAGTATTTTTATAGATGAATTCTGTCTTTTGCGAATGTCTTTCACCTCTTATGTTTGAAAGCAACATTTGAAAGTGTAGAAATGTAAATTCTGAGATCACTGCTGTTGACACAGGGATGTTGGCACGTGGATCTGGAGCTGCTGTAACTACCTTTGCCCTTGGATCTTTTTTCGTGAGTATTGCTGGTGGAAAACATCACTTTGCTACATGTATAAAGTGCCAATTTCAGTAGATGTGTGAGTGAGTCAGATGTGATCCCAGATGACCCCTGATCAGCACCAAAGAACAAACACATATGACCCTCTCAAGAGTGTTGGATACCTCAGGAGCCATGAGCCTCTCTTGAGGCACCAGTGTCTCTGGTGCTTGCAGAGTGGTGATACCTTGTCTTTGCCTGTATCTCCCTGAAAAATAAATATATGTAGATATCTGTAGGAATTTCAGGAGGCATTCATTTATCCATTGCAAGTTTCAACAGATAAAATTCCAGTTGGATGTAACAGGAAAAAATATTCCCAGGGAGAATGGTGAAGCATGGGACAGGTTGCTCAAAGAGGCTATGACATACCCATACTTGGAAATTTTTGAAATTTAAAGGGATGAGACTTGGAGCAATCTGATCTGACTTTGAAGTTAGTCCAGCATAGAGCTAGGGGTTAAAATAGATGACCTCCAAGAGTCACTTTCAACCTCAATTATTAGGTAATTTTATCTGCCTTTCTGTGGACCACTGTGGAATGTGGTCTCAGGACGTAGGACAGGGATTGTATGTGGGATGTGTTTAGCAATTTTGTGGGGTAGGAAGAGCGTGTGTTTACCACTCCATTAGCTGTGGTTTTCGTTGAGAAGATTTAAAGTAGGATGTAATCGTATTTGATTTCGTGGAATACTCAGGACCAGGATTACCCTCTCTCCAAAGACTCTTGGAACTATTAACAAAAACCAGAGCTTTATTAGATCTGTGCAAAGTAGGTAAATTTTATCAGTTTGCAGAAGAGTACATGGAGATACAGGAATGGAACTACTTCTGTTGGCAATCAGCAGAAAGATGGATGTAGAACCTAGGCAGCCCTGTTTCATGCTCTGCTGTGGGCATCATGAAGCTTGGTATAATTTTTAATATGGTTTGTGGAATCTTTCTGGGAAAAAAAAAAGCACAACAACAAACAACGCCCATACTTGTGAAATGATTCACTGTAACAGCAGTGTCTTTCTGGTGTATATTACAAAATGCCAAATCAATTTGTGATGGGAGAGGGATGGGGCCACAGGTGGTGTAAGAGGAAAACCCATCTGTGGAGCGGTCAAACAGAGTTCATAGCTATATTTACTGTGCTGCTTTTATTTTTAATAAAGTTCGGTGCTAATTTTTCTTCAGAAATAAAACCAAATTTTCAGTAAGGGCAAGAATCACTCATATTCTCATCTGATATGAAGAATGTTTAAGCAAGGAAGGAGAATTATACAGAAAATGGAAATCTGGAAACAACTATAACTCATATTTAATGCTCTGAAACTTGCCTTAGAAAACCATTATTGTCTTAAGCCAGCTGCAGTATTAATTAATGCAAATGCAGGCTTAAGCAAGGTGTTGCTTGCAGTGTCTTTTCGTCTGGCATATGGATTGTACTGAGTAGTTCCTGCTTTCCTGTGCTTAAGGAGGGGGGAAAATAACTTTTTTTTCCTTCCTCTCATACAGATCCACATCCAGAGAACCGAAGGGTGTGACCACATGACCTGTTCACAGTGTAACACTAATTTCTGTTACCGTTGTGGGGAGAGATACCGCCAGCTCCGCTTCTTCGGAGATCACACGTCAAACCTCAGTATCTTTGGATGCAAATACCGCTACCTCCCCGAGAGACCACATTTAAGGAGATTAGTGCGAGGCTCTGTTTGTGGTGAGTGGATAAAGGTTCCTTGTGGAGAGCTGCACAATGAAGTGATTGGGGGGATAAGGCAGTATTTAAATTAAAACATGGTTTAAGGTATTGGATGGGCAACTTGTTTTTCAGTTATGTAAAGGGGGGTTATCAAATATATTTAAATATATTACATTTGCACTCCCTTTTTAGATAGACTTGTATGAGTAAGTATTTTGTCCTCTTCTGATAGCTTCTGTTTCCTAACCTTTTTTAGTAATACATAAGCAAACCGGAAAAATGCTGTCAATATGCATGTGGCTGGCTCTTTTTATTATTCTAAAAGCATATAGGAGAAATGGATAAGAGCAGGAATCTTTTTTTAACCTCTCCATTAAGGATCTGTTTGAATAAAGCGCTGTTAGGATTTGAACCTGATCTGGGTTATTTTTTAACTGTTAGCTTCACTTCAGCTTAAAAGAAAATAATATACATAAATATATACGTTAGTTTCTCTCAGAAATATGATCCCGAAATACAACCATACAAAATGGTTGTATTAACTGTCAAAAACTGGGGACCTAATAAGGAAAATAGAACTTCTTGTACTTTGAATTAAGTCATAGAAATTGGAAATGACTTGGAATTCACCTAGAATTAGGAAATGCTTTGAGCTTATCAATTGATGATGTTGACTGCAGAGGTAAGAGACTGTACATGTGGAAATAGAAGTCAGCAGACCTGAGATGAAAACATTACTCCTGAGCCAAACATATTCCAGTAAGAAAACTGGATGATTTTTAGAGTAACACAAGAGTTGGCACACAAACATAGGCCTGGTAATAAAAATGCCGATCTTGCTGCTCTGCAAAGTTGTGGAAGATTCACAAACCTGGAATGCTTGTTTAACAAGCAACAATAAGTCATTCAAGCCCATTATTTTGACCTCAGAAACTTGCAAGGCTTTATAAGAAACTTTATCAGAGAGGTGAATTAAAGATACATGAATAACAAGAAAGTGGATGAAAATTGAAAATGATTGGAGATGCCTACTCTTGACACATTTTGTAGATATTAATACTAGTGGATGAGAAGATCTAGTCTAGATTAAAAACAATTCTGGCACTAAGGCACATGGGCAGAAACATTTCATGAATAAATTTAGACTTAAAACTCAAGAACTGTTTCAAAGCACTTAGTAAGATTTCAGAAGAGCTTTTATTAATAGCCACAATGGCAAAAAATGTAAGCTGTTTTAAAATGCATCTTATTACATTTGGTGTAATTAGTATCTGCTGTAGCAATGGACTGTTCTCAGAGACATAACCAAGTCAATGCTGCTTATGTACAGAATCATGGGGAGCCTTATTAGAATTATAGAATAGTTTGGTTTGGAACAGACTTTTAAAGGCCATCTAGTCCAGCCCACCTGTAATGCGCAGGGAAATCTGCAACCTAGATCAGGTTGCTCAGAGCCCTGTCCAACCTGGCCTTGAATGTTTACGGGGATGGGTCATCCACTACATCTCTGGACAACCTGAGCCAGTGGTTCACCACCCTCATTGTAAAAAAAACTTATATGCAATCTAAGTTGCCCACCTTCAGTCTGAAGCCATTACCCCTTGTGCTATTGCTACATGCACTTGTAAAAAATCCCTCTTCATCTTGCTTGTAGGCCCAAGATTAAACCTTCTCTGTGCAATGGAGATGCAAAGATAAAACAAGTGAGTTTTATCGCAACATAGATCTCCAAAAAAAACATTATCATTCTGGTAATATTTGCATTGGTTCACATTTAAGGTATCTAAATATGTAGTTGGAATGTTTTAATGTCGCATAAGAAGTCCCAAATACAGATGCATGTACTGCATGTGCATAACTACTATTGAAATTACTTTATATTTACCTTGCTTGTTGTTGTAGGAAACAACAATACACAGCCTTTTCCTTTTAAAATAAAACAGCTTTTACTAGTAAGAAACAAAATTATTTTATTTGCAAACATCAACTTGAGGGCAATAGAGAAATGTGGAAGAGAATATATGAATTAAAGTTCAGTGGTGAACATGTATATGTTCATATTTAAAAGATCACACATAGAGAAGGTATAAAATATTTTTATTTTAATTTCCTGTTTGCAAATGTACTTGTGGTTTGTGTGAATTAGTAAATAAGAAAGATTAGCAAAGCTCAAAGCCTCAGATGACATTTCTCATAGGGACTTTCTGTTAAAAATGTCTCTCCAGGACTACCTCTGTTATATGGTGCAATTTCTCAAAAGAATGGTTATCATTTGAATAGAGACAGAGCTAGCTGGACCTGCCAGCACATGTAGTTAATGACCCTCTTCTTGTCAATAGCTTGTTAACACTCAAGTTGACAATAATTCAAAAAATTCTGCATTGATGCTCGTGACTTAAATCCCTGTCATCTCTAGAACTCTAAATTTTAATATTGGTTCTGTTACACTTTATGAATAACTACCAAAACACTCCATGGCCCTAACAGAATTTGCACATGAAAACAAAAAATTACCAGCTTTAAAAATTTGCATCAGATTTGAATTCTGGAATTGAGGTCACAGCTCTTCCTCCATTGGATTAGATTTTGGCTATGATTTGCATATATGAGCTAGTCTAGATTTTTGTATTTTTTTCCGCAAAAGTGCACATGTGAGTTTTCACATGTGTTTTTTTTTAAGACAACATTATATTGCTGTAAGATTGTACCTACTGACATTTTTCTTTGCAGAAGGTATAATCCCAAACTGTGATACAGTGTCAGTTCAGTTTGTGGATTCTGCCATTTTCAATGCTGCAAATCTGATAGGATCATCTGTCTTCGTAAAACTTCAACAGAATTGATCTCTGCCTGTTAATTGGGCTTGTGTAAAGGTCTGCCTGATAAGTCTGTCCCCAGCAGTGGTCAGTTAGAAATAAGATCTCGCTCCCTGTTTGTTTCCGGTAATAGTTGTTTTAAACAAGACACTTCTTTAGTTAAGGTTTGTATCTGAACCTTTGATTAATAACTATCAGTAGATTTATCCCTCAGTAGTTTATACAGTTCTTAAGTTTTGACTTCCAAAACATTTCTGGTAGAGGTTCTAGGATTTTACTGTATGTTGTGTGGTGAAAGTTCTGTTGGTTTTTATTGATTCCTAGTGATTTCATTGGTTACTTCTGTTATCATGAAATTGAGTAAATAATAATAGCTTGCTTACCTACTCATCTTTCCTTTATGGACCCTCCATCAGATTCTACTTTGTCATGATATTTGATACTGGTTTTGTTTGTTTGTGTTTTATGTTTTGTGCTGAACTGAAGCTTACTGGTCTTAATGACTTATGATCAAGCTGAAAATTCTGAAATGTTGAATTCCAATTAGGGATCATGTCTAGGCTCAGGGATGTCCTGGTTGTTAGAACTGTAAATGTAAATACATAAATACATTGTTAGGCAAGAGAGGAGCATTGTCATCAGGAGATGCTAGAGTACAAGCCTGGGTTTTGGTTCTGTTCTGAAAGTCAGCAGAAGAAAGAAGAGATGGTAGCAGAGAGATAGTCCATTAAAGCAAAGTCTCAAATTTTAGTAACATGTAGTAAGAAATAAAGGTTCGATTTCCTGTAGTAAAATGCCTCTACTAGCTAGCTAAGTAGTGGAAATTAAGGGAATCTTATCTTGGCTGTCAGTGGGAGACTGGTGAGGTGTTGCTAGATATGTGGGTGTTTTCTATGACTTCTTTATTACTATGGAGAAGAAATACTTAAGTTAATGTGATTTTGTAGCCATGTAGAGTAAAGGTTTTTTTGGCTTGTTTCTAAAATCTGGCTGGGTAGGGTGTGTAGAAAGAAAAGAATGCGTCATGGCAGGCTGGCATGCTGTCATGGTTTCCATTGAGAAGCAAGGGTTTGTGCATACAATCACAAACTGTTCTGCAATAAAAATAAGGGAAAAGCATTTATGGCAGCATAGATTTAAACATACTTCTCTTCACAAACCAGTTGTTATGTAAATGTGATAGTAATCACAGGGAGTAGAAAACCTGAGAGCAGAGGTGATCTCTAAATTTGATGACATTTCTTCCCCTTCTTTAGTCAACATGTTTTTTAGAGAAACTTCGTCCTGTGACCAGTAAAGTGAAACTGCTTTTATTCTTCAGTCCCAGCAGACTTAGAGATTTCATTCTCATAGTAATTATTTGGCTAAAGTGTCGAAGGCAGAATGTTTCGTTATAACTGGAGTCAGTGATGAATTGTACAGAAAGGAAAAACATGTTCAACTGTCTTAAAGGTACTTAAGATGTCACTGGAGTACCACTTGAATTCAGCTGGATGAACTATATTCAAATTTAACTGCTAGGTACTTCATGGATCTGTAACAGGACACAACATGCAATGAAGCTATTAAAGCAAATTAATTTTTTTGCATGGTAAGCAGCATTTCAAATAGGAAAAGCAGTATGTTTTGAGATCTGACTGACTCCTGTCCCAAGCAGAGCACAAGGTTCACTTTATGTATGCACAGCTTTGAGCCCTGCAGAAGGAAGCATGCATTTCTGTGATCCAACCTTCATTAGCAACTTCATGATTTAAGTCCGTCTGATTTGTAAGAAGTCATCTCTATACACTTGATAGTACTCTTTTAAAAACAAATGCAAAGGTTTATTAGAACTTAAATGTACATAGATATGGCTACTTTGATTTGTAAGGAGACTCTTCTAGTGTCTCTGCTGCTTAAACAATAATGATATTTAGACTTAAAAGATAAAACTTATTATTTCCCATATGCTAGTGATTAAATTTGTTTTCTAAAACTAGTTTATTAATATTTTACATGGCAAAGAATTCTTGAAGTGTTTATGGATGTTTGTATATATTACCCTAAACCCTTCAACCAAACCCAAAGTTATGCAAGGGAAAAATATTCCCTCATGTTTCCTGAAATACTTCATCATTTTGCAGAAAAACATGATCCTCTGTATCACAAACGTGGTAGTTTGGTCTACGCCTTCCTTGGTGACCAGTTTGTAACCAAGGAGGTGCCCAGATTTACCCAGTATTCCCTACGATTTTTACGTAAGCCAGGGTATAAGAAGAAGGGAGGAAAGGCCTTCGCTCTCTCTTTCCTTCCGGCGGCTTTGGAGGTGCAGGTTTCCCTACTGTTGAGTCTGTCGGGTTGGAGAGCGAGGCCTGGTGAGGCCTTGTCGACCTTGGGAGGCGGAGGCTGCTGGTAGTCGCTCCAGCATGACTCTCCGTTGTCCCAAGGAGAGTAGTAAGATATTCTTTGCTAATTCTTTTAGTTGATAGACCTTGGGCTATTGATTGGGATATATATATATATATATATTTTATTTTGGTTTTGTTCTTCCCCTTTCCCTTTTCCTTGTGAAATTGTATATATATTTCAATTGTATATAACTCTAATAGAAGTGTAAATATATTTATATATTGCTTTAGCTGTCGTTTCGGTTTTCTCGGTTGTTTTTTTCTCCCTCTTCTCCCTTGGTTTTTGGGGGGGGGGGGGGACACGACACTTCTTGTGGTAAGGGTTGGAGACTTGGCAGGGAGCCAGCTCCAAACCATATCAACAAGTAAGGCAACCCCTCTGAGACACCTGTAAATACAGTTACTACATTACCACAAATATCTAAGTCTTCATGCAGAGTGACCCAGTAGAGAAATTATTTACCATTAATTTGAGTGTGATTGTAAAAAAGGTTCCCTTTTGAGGCTTGTTCTCTTTACAACCATTTCTTCTTAAGTTATCCCTAAAAACTAGCTTTGGACAGTACCAAACTGGGTCATAACCTGCCACTGGGTTCATCACATGGGCTAATGACCCAAGATTTCATTCAGCTCTGAGAAAGGTTTTACATTTGCTCTCTCCACTAGCAGTCTTGGAGCTAACAGGCATAGGGCAGTGGGTCTTTGGGCAGTTCAGTGCCTGCAATAAACATTCTTAGTCTCAGCATCATTTCTTGGTGTGTCATGATTCCATCACATTACATTCATCCTTCTGTCTACACTTGAATAATTCAGGTAACAACTTCTATGTATGTAGAACACAGCGCAGTGGAGTCCCAAGAAAGTCTACCATTAGGATACCTAGCAACTAAAGTAATACAAATAATATTTGCCAATTTTTTTCTTCTAGGAATTAATGTTTCCCACTCACAACACTCCTATGAAATTTAAAAGCTATCAAAACAGCATGAAAAGGACCAGTTCATTTAACTGCTGTAAATATTTCCAAAATATCTAACCTTTCCTTCAGACTGCTCAAATTAGTGTCTCAGGTTATGGAGAGATTTACATCATTATTGAATGAAGTAATCCATTTACTGAAATCTGATACGAGTGACTTGAGAGACAGAATGGTAGGGAAGAGGCAAGTCACAAATTCACTCTTTCTCCCATTCTAGAGGTGATCTTTCAAACACATGCCTAACTTATAGACTTGCCAAATTTCAAGTCCCTGATCAGACTGCTGATGTATCAGTAAAAATGCCTTCCCTTCTGCATTTTCAAACAGCTTAGACAAATGATATCTTAGATCCAACTGCTCAGCCAACTGAGACAGGGAGATTCTTCCACTTGAAGTGTGCAACTCAAAGATAACTTGGTTTCAAGTTCAGTTTCAGATTCACTGTTTCAGAAGGTCCCCTGCCTTCACTCCATGATCGTGAACTTATTAGAAGTAAATAATATGAGCATGCTTTATTTGTTCTTGGTCATATGCTCTAGCCAGTATGCTGCACAACATTGCTGCCTTACTTATGTAAGTGCCACAACATATCCTTACAAATGTTGATCCAAAATAGACTTGGCTGTAGTTTGATTTAGACCTAAATCACAGCTGTACACAAGCACTTCACTGTAGCCTTTTAAAGCTAGTAGAAGCATATTTAGAGGGGATGCTCTCATCACCTTGAGCTAACCTAAACTTTCCAAGATGGTAGTTTGCTTGGCATCTTTCCAGGGTGGTTGTTTTGCAGTTGGATTCCGGAGAAGCCAAATGATAGTAGCTTTATAGCTATCACATTCCTGTCAATGCTTGAGGGATTTCAGAATGGAAACAGAAGTAAATGCAAGCTGTTAATGGGCAAAATGAGCTGTGCTTGAAGAGTTGTGGTCGGTGCAGAAAGAAATGTGTGCAGGGAGCTGGTTGAGTGGTGATAGATCCTACGTGGATTTGTAGGATGAAATTGCAAATAGGAATCCTATTTGTAAAGGTAAAGTATTTAAAAAGTGAACCGGCTTTTGGGAGTCTGATATTGAAATGTTTATGGATGGTTGGAAAGGGAAAAATAAAAATGCCTTCTTTAAATTGCTTAATGAATTTTACATTTCAGCTGGAAAACTACTCATTACGCCCCTAATACTGGTTCTGGGACTGGCACTGGGAGCCGTAGCTGTTGTAATAGGTAAGAGTTACATACGTGAATGAAGCTAATCCTGATTATGCAGTGACTTTCACTGTATGACCTCTCTGTATTTTCGTCTCAAAGAGATGGACACAAAGTACACATTTCACAGATACTGTTTTAGTATCAAGCACATGACTTTTTTTTTCCTAAAAAGCTTGTCTCTGGGTTTTGGTTGTTTTTTTTTTCCTTACTTGCATTTTATGCTTATTAGCTTTATTTTTGTTCCTATATTTGGTTTTCTGACCCAAAATCTTTAACTAGTATAGTTAAACTAGTACAAAGGCCTGAGTAATTTAAACATAATCCTAGGGGCTGGCTGACTTGAACCTGCCCTTTAATCACCCCATTGAATCACAATTTTATGATCTTAGCCATGTGCATAATAAGATTTTTGGGGCACTAGGCATAGTCCCAAGAGCTCACCAGCTTGAAGATGTAGCAGCAACAAAGCAGCGAATTGGGATGAGTCAGTCTCAAAATATGATTCAGTGCATGGGCTGCCAAATTGGATTCCATCACAAAAACTGGTACTGTGAACTCATTTGATATAGTATCAAAGCTCTATTAATGTGGAGGTAGTTATTTTAGCAAATCTGCTCTTTGCCTGGCTTAGCTGAGTTCTCCTGCAGAAAGGAAATTAACCATGACAATCAATGTATAATTTTGCGCATGCAAGTGCATATCTACTCTTTATGTTGGCAGTAATACGTCATTTGGGTATCATGTTGCTTCACAGCTCTACACCAAACTACTTACTTCATTGAAAATTTGCAGTGCATGCCCTGAGGCATGTTGGGATGTGGCATCTTTATTTTAATATAATAAAGCCAAAATATACCACGGGAGTTAAATTAATAAGGTTGTAAATAACCAATCAACCTATAACCAAAATACTGCTATAGCTTCTCTAGACTACATCTGGCCAAATAAGGAATATTGCTATTAATTTCTATATTTAAGACTACCTTCACTGGATGTAGAGGGGGGGGTCTATCTTAAATATTTATTTTTATTCCAAAAATAGAGACAATAAAAACTTCTTAATGCCAGTAAAGCTTATTTTGCTCTGCAATCTGATATAGTGTACAATCTATAATCCACTGTTTTGCTTATACTAAAAATTAATAGGGTTTTGCAGTAATATAATAACAATAATTGCAATTACAAGCATGCCATTGAAGTCTCATCCTAGGTATGGCTGGATAAGACAATCAAGAGCAGCAGTATGAGCAGTTCCAAAAACGTGGATTATTTATGGGAAAGTTTCGGGTTTTGAGATAATTACAGCAGTATTTTTTGCCAACATCACTGTTAAAGTAATCTCAGTATCATAGCTGAAAACCATTATGCACCATTTACAAGGCTATTGAGCAAAGCAAGAACCTTGGTGATTGTGGGAGTGTTTTGTTCTATGTTATTACTCTAGTGGTGTCTGAAAAGGAAATCTTTGGCCGTTTCAGTCAGCTGGTGCCAAGAGAAAGGGGGAGATCTCATTTGGGTTTGAGAGAGTACCTCTTATGACAAACTATTTTTCACTTGATTAAATGTGATTTATTTATTTTACTTTTTACAGCTTGCTTTCTCTCAAAAGACTTTTAAGAATAAATAGTATCCTGCCCAGGCAAGGATAAACTTTTGCTATTACTTCACAATAGATGAGGATGTTTGTAAAAATAAATAATATTTATAAAAAAGTAAAGCCATAGCATACTGTCTCTATTCCATGTGAAACTAATTGAAAACTAGTTTAGTTACATCAGACTTGGATCTAGATCTAAGGATTTCCAGAGTGGTTTTAAAAGTTTTGTTTGTATCTTTTACCAAACAGCATGGTTCAGAAATTAATATGTCAGAGATAGGTGTAGGATTAGCAGGAATTTGTTGTAAAGGAAAGAATAAGTGTAGCTCAAATCATTATTGAAGAGACTCTTGCAGGCTAATATTTTTCTGCTTGTCCAAATGCCTTGTCGAAATTCTCTTGGGATGTAGAAAGCCCCACCTGAATACATATATTGAAAGAATACAATATACGCACAAGGGATTGCATTTAGTTATGGTTTTCTTTGTATTTTCTTCTTTTGGCAGGTTTATTTGTGTTTCCTATCTATTGCCTTTGTAAAAAGCAGAGGAAAAGGTCACGGACAGGTATGCCCTGGTGAGGATGGACCTTACTCGCCTGAACTGAACTGGTCCTGCAAGGGCTATACGTGCTTTGTGCAACAGAGCAATACAGTGCTGGTAACAGCATCAAAGCCACCGCCCTGGAAGAAGAATGGGGGTTCTCCTGCCATCTTCCCTCAGCCGAAAACACTACTGCAGACCAGAAAGCCTCTTTGCTCTGGTGCACTCTCAGCAAGATGGGCCCCCTGAGTGCTGCTTTTTAAATGGTTTTGGTTCTTTGTTTTTTTTTTAATTATTACTTTGGAGGGGTTTTTTTGAGTCTAAGTTTCTGAACTAGACAATCAAAGTCTGTATTGTAGCCACAGCTCTACTACCGATTTGGCCTGTGAAGAAAGCATTTAACCGCTAACATGTGCTCCATTTAACTTCAGTGTCGGCCTTTAAGGGGGAAATGCTTAGAAGTGTTTGGACTCTTACTGTATACTGAGCATACTACTTTTGGTATTAAAAACTACTTCTGTAAATAACTTCCATCACACAGCATTCTGTTCAGCATACCAAAACCCCGTCACATGCCAGAACACAACAGCTGGTTATCTTCTGAGTTCTCCTGCTAGTAGGCAAGAGTGTAGATTGCCACTGCCAAACTGCAGTGCCTCAGAGGGAAATATCCTTAGTATTGAAGCTCTGTGCTACTTAAGAATGTGATGATTGGTTTCGCTTCAGTAATTTATTTATGACAGTCTATTAATATTAATGGCAGGGGTGTGACAAGGCTTGTTACAAGAGTACTTCATTTTTAAATTGTCACAGTACAGAAAAAATTTGAAGGGTTTAGATAACAAGAAGTGTCAGTGGCCTATTCTGTCCCAAGATATCCCTGAAGTGTGTTTGCAGGGAAGATGGGAACCTGCTCTTCTATTCTGACTTGGAATATGATACACATGCTCCACACTAGTTGTGTGAAGATAGACTTGGTGAAATTTTATAACCTAAATAGCACATTTTGTTTGTTTGTTCGTTTAAGTAGGCTATTGCACAAGTCTTAGAGTATCCACTGATGTCTCATGAGGAAAATCTGTGAATCTGGGATAAGGGGAGGGGTCATGAATTCTTAGGAGACCACTTCATTCTTAATTTCTGTTTCTAGTGTTTGTCTTCCTGGTGCATTACAGTTCTGAAGATAATAGCTATCTTTGCTCTTTTTTCCTAACTTCAGAGTTCCACTGTTTGCTACCAAACCTCTTTCTCAGTGCGTCACCCCAAAAGCAATCTAATTCAGCATTAGGAATCAGCTACTGAGAATTTTTACACTTTTTATTTCAAATTTATCATACAAATATAACTTCCAAGAAAAAATAGAATAAAATAAATTTGTGTAGGCAGAACACTGAAGCAAAGAAAGGAACTGATCAAGAAAAATACCTACTTTATACTGTAAAAATACAAGCTGATCTTAAAGAAGATTGAATTTGTACTGTGAAGGTACTTTTTTGCAGTGTATGTGTTTGAAGATACACGTGTGTGTGTGTGTGTGTGTGTGTATATATATATGTTTGTGTATATATGGGAAAGGGGGAAGCAGGAGGATGGGAAATGTCCTGAAGAGTCTACAGACTTCAAAACTTAGACTTGCAAATAGCATATCATGTAGGAGGATGTACTTTGCACCCCTTTCTTTGTTACATGTGAATCCAGTTGTAATTTTTAAGTAAATGGTATTCTGCCCCACCAAGATAATACTGTTATAAGATACTCACTTTGACTTCAAAGCCTCAGTGGAAGAAGGTGATGACTTTTGTTTACCTGGAAACACAAATATCAGCTTTCTGTAGTTGGCTAGGATGCTTGTTTTCTGTCAGCTTCTTGTTTTGTGTTCTTGGTTTGTTTTTTTTTTCATTGTTGAAACAGTGTGTGCAAGCACATCATAGTAGTCAACAATTATTTAATAATTTCCATTTGAATTTAAGTGCATGTTGCTTCTGTTGTCCTAGCAGTAGAAACAGTATCTAAGATTTGCAAATTAAGCAGGGAAGCAATGACATTTAGAAATAAAATTCAAAACCTATTGTCATTGCAAATCCACCTATTAATTAGATTTCTTCTTCTGAGATGCATCAGTTTTCTATTTGTGTTCTGCCTGAGGTTGGAAGCTGCCTTAAAATTGGTCTTGGTTTTGCGTGTATTTTCTGAGGCTATACATATCAGTTGTCTTTGGCTTACTCAGGGATTTTTATTCCTCTCTTTAAATGTCAAATAATGAAGATATTTTTGTATTATTTAGAAAAACCTTCAGACCTCAGAGAGCGAGATATATATAGATAGATTTGGGTTTGCAATGCAGTCTGTAACATGGTGTCAAACTATTCCACTTGAGAATATTTTAGTACTTGAGATTATCTGTAATTAACTATACAGTGGGTTAATTTCCTTGCTTTTCCTGGTTCTGTATAAATATGTGAGATATTATTACACTTTTTGTAGCTATTTTCACTCTGGCGTGTTTGCCATTTTCAGTTTCTGACAGGAGTTCAGTGAGATTTGAAATTAAGATACTAGAATAAAGAGCATAAAAGGGAACATAATAGATCTGCACTTATTTATATTCAGAAAGCGTGTCCTTGTGGATGGAGAAAAGGAACACACAACTCAGCTCCTACATTATCATTTCATCTAGGCCATTTTGATTTCATCAGAACAGATTAAATCAAAGGGAAATAGTTTTTCATTTTCTATACAGAGCAAAAAGAGACATCTATGACCTTGTAAAGATGAGCAAGTCTGGTCTTTTTCTGTGGGGAAAAAAAGGGAATGACAATAATTTTTGCTTCTCTGTAGAATGGGACAAACTTTCAAGAGTCAGAGTAGAGATACGAAAGTCTTTTTCCATGTGTATAAAAATATTCCCACTTGAAAAGTACATAAACACAATTTTTATCAATATGTTGTAACATAACCAACTGAAATATGAGAAGTAGCTCAGTACAAAGGTTCATGCAATAAAACATTAGCTTTTAAACAACTCACCACAGAAAATCTTACATCAAAGCCATGACATTTGTTTTAAAAGCATTAATTTATGAGTTTGAAAGAAATTGAATGAACTTTGTAATATTTTTATCATGTAAACATCTTTTGGTTTTGGTAACTACTCTAAAGAAACTACCAGGCTGTTCTACTCCATCTTTAGTAGCAGAAACCTTGTCACGCAGCTGACTTAACCTACTAATGCAGATTTCACACTACTGTATGCTGATCATTGCTGGTCATTGTGTTTGCTTTCACCACATTTATTATTTAAGATTATTTATTGTTGTGCGAAGTTGTTGCTCACCAATACCTGTATTCAGACTAGGAAATGCTTAAATCCGTTCTACACTAGCCTTCTCTTTCAAGTTTGCCTGAGAATGGATTTGCCTATGCGCCAAGTCCTGCTTACAGACATGCAGTCAGAGCTAGGACCTTCCCTGTGGTGCCATGCAGTGTGTGCCCAATCCTGTTCCTGCTGGGAGGGCTGGCTGGACATGCCATCTGGCAGGGACTGCTCTCCACTTTCTCCACTATGCCTAATTTAGTTGTATTTCAGTAATGGGGTTGAGCTTCAGGGCTACTCAACCATGTCATTGGCTGGATGATTGACTGCTGTGGCATAGGTATATTTGCAGAGCTTATCCAACACCTTGTAACTGGAAAATAATTGTGCTTTCCCTATGTCACAGTTTATTAGCCAGTGAGAATAAGACGCTGAGTAGGAATACAAAGGAGAGGCAGAAGGGCAATTCTGAGTAGCCTCATGCTGAGCTGATCCATCGGTTTTGGTTCCGTACAAAAAAGTTGGTTAGTCTTCAGTTCTCACCACCTCTGTAATAAACAGCTTATTCCTATCTTCCCCATGTCATTAAAAATACAGTGCACTTTGAGTGATCTGTTATCTTCCTTTGAGGAAGTGCAAATATGTAAGTAAGGGAAGATTTTGTTTGGTTTTGATGTTACTAATGCTGACATCGTAACTCTTTCTGGTATGTTAGGGGTTTTTTAATTTACACCAGTTTATTCATTATAAAAGTTTTATCAACATGAAGTTTATTAAAAATATTAATTTGCAGGGACTATTGCCAATTTAACTAGAAAGCATTTTGGATCATCATCAAGTATTCTTTTTAGCCAAGGGGCTTTCTGCTCTTCCAAAGACTGTCACAGCTTGTGTGATGTTAAATGGTGTGTAGGTGGTGCAGTAATTCTCTGAGGATACAAATTCTCCAGTGATAAATGGTTTCTTTTGCCAGTTAGTCTGAGAAACTGTTTGATATTCAATGGCCAAATAGTTTGTCATGCAGACTCTTGAAGTTTTGTTTTTTTTTAATTTAGTTGGAGTGTTTTGTTTCTTGAGCAAACTTTGCATCATTAATAATTTTGGGTATGCTGATCATGTAGTTTCAAGTTGTGGATAAGAACCATGGATTACTGTTACTTTTATAATCTATATTAAATCTATGATTCTGCTGATGGAAAGAATCCTACCTGAGTAAACTCTTAAAGAGATAATTTCTTAGTTTCTTTTAATTTTGCAGCTTTGTAGTTGCAGTGAATCAGCCTCGTTCCTGACATCAGTCATAGCCCCATTAAACCAGAGAAACCCATTTTTATGCCAGTATGGGATTTGGTCACAAATACTTTGTTGGCATGTTGGTAGCCATTGTGCAGGAACTTGAAAATCTGTTTTGCTTCTTAAGTGCAAACTATCATTTGCCGAATGATGCCAATGTGTTTAGTAAGTGCAGGAGAGGGAAGGACTAGGGAAGAATTTCCAAACAACATTCTTATTAGAGCAAATTGTCAGGAGAAGGGATACTAGCTTTTAATATAATAAAAGAGACCTTCTTAAAGCTTTGAGTCATTAATAAAATTAGAAACAACATCCACAGACAGTGTTAAGTAACATCTTCAAATTCTGCTTTCTTCAATGTAACAAATAATAGCACAATGTAAGAATTGGTATTGTGAACTGTTCAGTATTTTGGGGACTTAACACATAAGCTTGAGGGCACACAACATTTAAAAAGTTATGATGCTGATCTGTTTGGTGGTTTGTCTTGCTACTGTTACATTAAAAACAGGCTGAGCCTTGATTCAGTTGAAAGACAAGCAGTGTTTTCACTTATATTACAATTTGAGCAGTACTTAATGCCCCCAAACTTTTTTCTTAATAAAACTAACAAATGCAGCTGCTTGCAGACTTTAACTTCCTGGCTGATTTCTTCATTATCTTTCTGTGCATAAGATTTCAGAATCTATATGTTCTTTCTGCAGTAAGGAACGGAGTGCTCATATAAAGCAGTTAATCACTAATGTTTTCTCTTAGCCTGATAGTGAAATACTGTAAGATAAGGAAGAGAAAACTGGTCTTAGAGTGCATGCTCTGATTTCAAACATAAAAATGTGGAATAAGCTTTAATTACTCTGTAGCAAAAAATTAATACATACATTTCTAAGCATAATTCTAGCTGTTTATTTCTAAATATATCTGGTTTAAAAAATAGAGTAGTTATAATAGCAATTAGTTTATTAAAGTATGCATATTGTACCAAAGGAAAACTTTTTTGGAGCTTGTTTGGCTTACCAAAACTTGAAAAATTAATCTGAAGTGTTTTGGATGCATCAAAGTCAGAAGAGAAATATTGTGTAAAAATATTTGTTTTGCATTAACATGAATTTTGCACATACCTTCTTAAACAAAATTTCATGCCAACCCCAGTCCAGTGTTCACCTTGTTGAAAATTTGTCAGGCTGAAAACAGTATTTTTGAAATTTTAACTTACTGTCACTGAGCATGTTACTAATATAATGCCACATTTACTTCATTTCTGGAAGGAAACCTATTTACAGAATCCAGAGAAGCTGTTCAGATATTTTAAACCTGTCCTGTAAAACTGCTGATGCAGTCAAGAAACATTTCCATGCCTTATGCAAGCTCTGGATGAGCAGATGGATTCAGTCTTTAGTCATAGACTATCTTTTTGCATAAAAAATGCACTCTTAAGAGTTCTTCATATCAATTTACATTCTGCTACTTTGTGTCCCAGAATTGCAAGGATGGGGTAGAATTATATTTCACTTTGTTTACCATCTCATAATAAAGTGTTTACCATGTTTCCATTCGTTATACACTTTATTTGTAATCCTGTCCTTTACCTTCCAAATTTCATAAGTTGAAACTGACTTGTGAAAATGGCTTCAGATCAAATTAGACATGGAAAATGTGATCTCATAAGAAGTCATTTCATTAATGCTTTGCTGAGCTATACCAGCAAAAGATTAGTTTTGTTTATTTAAATTACTGAAATGCAAAATGCTGAAATCTTTTTCCTCAGGGCTTTTAATTTTGCAATTTTTTAAAAATGTAATTAAACAGCACAGTCATCTTTGCTACAAAACTAACCATCTGAGTATAAAATAACATTTTAAGGTATTTGTTAATTCTTTTCACTATGGTAGAGATGAGAATAATAATATGTGCTGAGAAGAAGAAAAAATTATCCTGAGGAGCTTGTCCAACCTGAACTTTCTCTTAGTTCCATGACAATTCAGTGAGAAATCTTCCCTTGTTCTCATCTCTTTTACGTATTTTAGGATGAAGAATTCTGTTTAAAATAGGTTTAATTTGAATGGCTGGTGGTGAGGGGAGTGAGATAATGAATCACATCCTTTTTAGTGTACAGGCTCCTGGCATAACTA